TCCCTCCCTCCCTCCCTCCCTCCCTCCCTCCCTCCCTCCTCCCCTCTGTCTCTCTCTCTCTCTCTGTGTATAAAATAAATGTTTTAAAAAAAAGGTCTTATAAGGTTCTGTTCAACATCTGCTACTGCACATGAAGGCACCTGTTGTGGGTCACGGACATGAGATATCCTTTCTTTTGACAAAGAAACTGTGTTGTTTGTGCATGATGGTGAATGCCTGTAATCCTAGCACTAGGTAGGCAGAGACAAGTGGATTCTGCAAGTACAGGGCCAGTCTAGGACACACAGCATATACTAACTCAGCTATGGCTACCCAGCAAGACCCTGTCTCACAAAAATTTTCTTTTGGCTGACAGTTTGCTCCGTTTCCTCTCAGTTATTGCCATTACTTTTTTGTGAATAATTTTTATACGTTTTTCAGCAATAACTAGTGCTTCTTTTTGGTTCAAGTTCTGACCCTTTAAAAAATAACATTGGGGGCTGGAGAGATGGCTCAGAGGTTAAGAGCATTGTCTGCTCTTCCAGAGGTCCTGAGTTCAATTCCCAGCAACCACATGGTGGCTCATAACCATCTATAATGAGATCTAGTGCCCTCTTCTGGTCTTTGGGCATACATGTAGAAGACTGCTGTATACATAATAAATAAATCTTTAAAAAAATAACATTGATGTCACATCAGAAAGAAGTACATTTGGTACTTGCTTCACAAAAACTGGGCTGGTTCAAAAGAGCTTTCCTTTTTTTATTTAAAGAAAAAAGACTTTTCCATCATGTGGCTTTGATGGTGGTCTGGCATGGTTTCACTGTGGAGGATGTACTGAGGACACAGGGGATGGATGTAACTGGTCTCGGAGCTCCCTCACCAGCCATTTACCAACACAAGCAGACCACCTCTTGCGTTTCCTTTACAGCTGCCTGTGCAAGAGTATCAAGCTAAAACGTCCTTTTGCTCATGGACACACAGTCACAAGCTCCAACTGTGAGCAATTGATTCCTTTGGTATTTAGGGTAATAAAGCAGTCCTGACAAAGCTGAACACACAGTGGCAGTCTACAATGTAAACTGACATTAGCTGGGGGCACTGGCTGTCTGACATACGTCATCTGAGATAAGCACAGCATGGCCTTCCTCAGGAGCATAACAGGACACCTGAGAAAGATCATTAACTTTTGTTTTAGGATGTAATAAAACATCATTTCAGAGCTCTTCCTTTCTGCACCCATGCTCAGGCCTTCAGGACTTGTCACTAAGAAAGCTGTCCCAGGCCCATCTAACTTGGTAATCACTACTGTGTGAAAGAACACAGAGAAAGCGGCTAAACCCCAAGCCTCAGACCTGACAAAGCCTGGCAGACTGGGTACTACCTGAGGGTTCTCTTCTCGTTTTGGTTTTGGTGCAGCAGGCGGGGTGACGGTACGGCTCTCTGCCTGTTTCTCCTCTGTTTCTGTGTGGGATTTAACTGTCTAGGAGAGAACAATTAAGTGAAAATTCAGAATTAATTTAATATTAAAAGGATTATAAATAATTTGACTCTGACCAAGAAGGAAAGAATATACTCAAATTTGAAACATTAACAAACAGGCTCATATGATGTATTTTGTTGAGGAGGAAGAAAATGTTAAAGTCCAGCTGGAGACTCTGGACTGTATAACTGGACTATGAACCTATAAATACAATCAGATAAAAGTGTTCCTGTATATAGAATGATGTGGCAGCAGGTAAAAACGTGCTGTCAAGCCTCATAACCCCAAGTTTGATGCCCAAGACCCACATGGTGGAAAACAACAACTAACTTCCCTCTCTTGCCTCCTGGTCTCCACCATGGCACACTCATTGTCCAATACATAACAGTGTTTTAATAGAAGGCAAACCAGGGCTCAGTGGGTAAAAGCACTGTAGGATGTGGTGGTTTCCAGAAGCACACACATCATTATATATGGGTCAGGCTCTGTCCACATGTGCTTACAATCTTTATAGCACAATACACTTCTTATATCCCGAGCTTTTCCTCAGAATAACCCAATGACTACCTAGAACTGCCTTCACTAAGGGTATTTAAAACCAGCCAGGTCCAAGCTCTCATCATTCCCAGGCACTCCTAGAAGCACCCAGTTCACACAGAAGCACCAGCTGTACTAACAACTGCTGACACAAATGGTAGCTTGGACATGGGTGGCTTTGCATCGCTGTTCTTTTCTGAGCAATGCCTAGTTCTTTTATGAATTCTATAGAAATAAAATAGTTTTAGAACAGTAGACATAGAACTATAAAAACAAACTTAACTTGCTTTTTAAAAACTAATGGAAATTATAGGTGCAATGGTCTTTTTGTAAGGTAAGCACAAATCACTAAGTAAATCAGAATAAAAGTATCTGATTACTGGTGGGGAGGAGCTAAGTGTAAGGCTTCATCCTTATAAAAAAGACACCAAAAGTTCCCAAAACCATTACGCTGTGAAACAATGTACTAGATCTAAAAGAGTATTCACCTTTCTCCTTAGATGTCTTTCATACTGTGCCTCTGGCTTTGCACACTGTTACACAGGCAAATGTAAGACCTGCTTATCAACTACTGCTCTTGGGCAGAGTCCTGCCATAAGAATCCATGTGTACTGCAAGCGACCTGAGGAGGGGCTGTTTTATATACTCGTGGTTAATGTCTCAAGCCCAGCGTGGTTGTGCCTGCGTTCAATAAAGCACTGACCTCCAGGAGACTCAATCAAATTTCAATCTCTCACTTAACCCCTTCTCCTCTTTCCTTAACCACGTAGTTTTTAACTTGGCTCAAAAGGGCCTACTTCCTCCATGAAGCAAACCCTCAATGGGAAAGCAGTCACAGCCACATAACTAAGGTCCAAGGTACTCAGAATTAGCTTATTTTTGTGACCTTGAGAATGGAAGGACAAGAGAAAAAGAAAGTCAACCACAGGGTTTGCATTCCATTCCTATGTAAAACAGTTCCCTGAAGCCTCTCTTGTATTTCTATGGATAAGTAAACACATGCTGGCAACGTTCCTGGGGAAGGGAACGTGACCCCCCCCCCCCATACCCACCAAAGACAGAACATACTGAGGACACCCAAAAAAAATCCTCCATCCAAACAAAAATAAGACAATCAAAACACTCAGAGGGGCAGGGTGGTTTCCTTTCTCTCAAGGACTTCTTGCTATGGTAGGTAAAGCCAGCGGTCATGTGCCCAGTACTATGGAAACCCCCAAGCAAAATGAAACTAGACTCCTGCCCACATCCAGCAAAAAGTGACGCCAGGAATTATCTGACTGAACTCAGAAGTAAACTGGCCAACTGCAGTTAAGCCTTGTGATAACTGCAGCTCCAGCCAACCACTTATAAACTTGTGAAAGAAATGGAGCCCAAACTATCTAACTAAGGTACAGATGGAAGGCAGAGGGGCAACATTCTTTAAAGGACGAGTAAAGAAACAAAAATGCAGAATGAACAAGGGCATCAACTAACAATCCTATGTTGTGTTAAAACTGTCCTTAAAGAACAAAGGACAAACTAAGATCAGATAAACTAAAGTTAAGGCTATTCACTGCTAAAAGGGACATCTGCCTTAAAGAAAAGACAGTGTCCTTTGCCTTTCAGAAGCTTTTCAGTTTCATGAAGTTCTATTTATTAATCATCTTAGTGCCTGAGCTATCAGTGTTCTCTTCAGGAAGTTATCTCCTGTGCCAATGTGTTCAAGGCTCTTCCCCCACTCACTCTGTTATCAGGGTTAGTGGGTCTGCTTTAACGTTGACCCACCTGGACTCACTCTGTTATCAGGTTAGTGGGTCTGCTTTAACGTTGATCCACCTGGACTTACTCTGTTATCAGGGTTAGTGGGTCTGCTTTAACGTTGATCCACCTGGACTCACTCTGTTATCAGGGTTAGTGGGTCTGCTTTAACGTTGATCCACCTGGACTTGAGTTTTGTGCATGGTGATAGACATGGATCTATTTGCAGTCTTACGTGTGGACATCTAGTCAGACCAGCAACATTTGTTGAAAACGCTTTCTTCTTCCATTGTATACTTCTGGCTTCTTTACCAAAAATTAAGTGTCCACAGATACGTAAATTTATTTCTGGGTCTTTGATTCTATTCCATTGGTAAGTCTGTTTGGTTTTAGTATTACTGCTCTGCAGTACAGTTGAAATCAGGCATAGTGATACCACCCAGAAGTTTTTATTGTACAGGATTATTTTAGCTATTCTGGGTTTTTTATTTTTCTATATGAAGTTGAGTACTGTTCTTTTAATGTCTGTAAAGAATTGTGTTGGAATCTTGATGGGGATTGCATTGAAGCTGTAGATTGCTTTTGGTAAGATGGTCATTTTTACTATATTAATCTTACTAATCTATGAGTATGGGAGATCTCTCCATCTTCTCATATTGTCTTCAATTTCTTTGCTCAAAGACTTGAAGTTATTGTCATACAAGGCTTTCACTTGCTTAATTGTCCCAATATTTGTGGCTATGTGAAGGGTGTTGTTTTCCTGGTTTCTTTCTCAGCCCATTTGTTGTTTGTATATAGGAAAGCTGTTGATATTTTTGAGTTAATCTTGTATCTTGCCAATTCACTGAAGGTGTTTATCAGCTGTAGGAGCTTCCTGGTAGAATTTCTGGGGTCAATTATGCACATTATAATCATCTAAGAGTTGCAATGCTTTGACTTCTTCCTTTTCAATTTGTAATTCCTTTATCTTCTTCAGTTGTCTTATTGCTCTAGCTAGAACTATTGAAGCTAGAACTTCCAGTACTATATTGAATAGATATGAGAAGGTGGACAACTCTGTCTTGTTCCTGATTTTAGTGGAAATGCTCTAAGTTTCTCTCCATTTAATTTGATGTTGGCTATAGGCTTGCTGTAAATCACCTTTATTATATTTAGGTATATGCCATGTGTCTGTAATCTCTCTAGGACTTTATAATCATGAAGGGGTGTTGGATTTTTGTTAAAGGCTTTTTTAGTATTTAATGAAATAATCATGTGTTTTTCTCTCTCAGTTTGTTCATATGGGGGATTACACTGACAGATTTTCCTATGTCGAACCATCCCTGCATCTCTGGTATGAAGCCTACTTGGTCATGGAGGATGATGTTTTTGAAGTGTTTTTGGATTCAGATTTCAAGTATTTTATTGAGTACTTTTTTTTGTTGAATCTTTGTGTGGTTTGAGTATCAAGGTAAGTGTAGCAATTTGACAATGTTCCTACTGTTTCTAGTTCATGGAATAATTTGAGGAGTATTGGTATTAGCTCTTCTTTGAAAGTCTGGTAGAATTCTGTGCTAAACCATCTGCCTCTGGCCTTTTTTTGTTTGGTAGATGTCTCAGTTAGGGTTTTACTTTTGTGAATAGACACCATGACCAAGGCAACTCAGACATACATGCAGGCAAAACACCAATGCACATAAAATAGAAATAATAAAAAAAAGAAACTAGACATCAGCAAATCAAATAATCCCACTTAAAAATGAGGTACAGATCTAAGCAGAGAATTCTCAACAGAAGAATATCAAATGGCCAAGAAATGCTTAAAGAAATGTTCAACATCCTTAACCAACAAGGAAATGAAAATCAAAACGACTCTGAGATTTCATCTTACTCCTGTCAGAATAGCTAAGATCAAAAACTCAAGTGACAGAACATGCTGTCAAGGATGTAGAGAAAAGGGAAAACTCCTCCATAATGAAAACTTGTACAGCTACTTTGCAAATCAGTATGGCAGTTTGTCAGAAAATTGGGAATGGATCTATCCCAAGACCCAGTTATACCATTCCTGGGCATATCCCAAGGGACATTCCATTCAAAGGACACTTGCTCAACTATGTTCATAACAGCTTTATTTATAATAGCCAGAAACTGGAAACAACCTAGATGTCCCTCAGTGGAAGAATGGTAAAGAAAATGTGGTACATTTACACAATGGAGTATTACCCAGCTATTAAAGAAATAACACTGTGAAATTTGAAGGCAAACGGATGGAACTATAAAAACAATCATCCTAAGTAAGGTAACCCAGATCCAGAAAGACAAACGAGTATGTACTCACTGATCAGTGGATATTAACTGTAAAGTAAAAGATAATCATGCTCCAACCCACAGTGCCAGAGAGGCTAAGTAACAAGGAGGATTCAAAGGGGACACATGTATCTCCCTGGGAAGGGACTGGAGACAACTGAGGATGGAAACAGGTGGAATCAGGTGGGGTATGTATAGAGAGAGAGTACTGGGAGAGACATCTGCAATTGGGGGCATTTCAGGAGTGAGGCAGAAACCTAGTGCAGTGGAAACTCCCAGGAGTCCACAGGGTAATCTAGTGAAGACGCATAGCAACGGGGATACAGAGCTGAACTGGCCATCTGCTGTAAGCAGGTAAGGCTTCTTCTAGTAGATGGACTGGGACACCAACCCAGCCATGAAACCTCTGACCTAACAATCTGTCCTGCCTACAAGGTGTG